TTATAAATTTATCATTTTAAGTAATACTATTTTAAATTAAACTTTCAAAATTTAAAAGTTATATTAATCTCAACTAATTTAAAATTATATCACAATAAATTATATAAAAAAAATTTTAATGTCTATTACTTAATTAATTAAATTTAAATTTAAGATTTTATATAAATAATATTTTCGCCCAAATTTATGATTTTATTTTATTTTATTAAATAAAAAAATTAAATTATCAAATAAATCAAAAATTCAGGTCAAATATTAAATCCTTGTCATGTAAGCATGACATGGCAATATTTTGCCATCCAAGCAGCCAAGCAGGGTGTGTCCTCAACGGTAGTTAAGTGAGACGAGCAGTCCCAAACGGCAGTTAAGTTGGCGTAAGAAGAAGGGCTTAATTGCTTTGATCCCCAAGTTCGAGGGCTTATATGCATCAATTACAGTCTAGGGGCTTAATAGCGATTCTGGGGTTGGTTCAGGGGCTTAACTTATGGTTTTGCCTATTTGAAAAGAAACGCAAAGAAAGACACATACAAAGTTAAAAACAAAAATCAGAAGCACATAAGTAAATATAAAATAAGTACCTTAATTTCAATGCTAAAAGCTGAGGAGATGCCTTCCAACTTTGAACAAGATAATAAAAAGAGTGATGTGTTTGGATGGTGGAAGAGGCAGAATGCAGAGACGGGTCTTTAATAGGATTATATTCTGCTTTGATTTTAGTTGAGTGATTGCTCTTCTTTGATTGATTCCATCCCACCGGTTTCTACTACAAACAAGGCAAAAGGGCGACAATTTATCTGAGATGCATAAACCAAAAATCATATTATAAAGAAACTAAGTAGATCATCTATATATGATTAAGATTTACAAAGAAACTAAACTAATTATGTTTGTGTTAAACCAAAAAAGGTGAAAAAAGAAAAAAACAGAGGCTACTCAGGAGCATACGTTCCCCTTTACCTGCTTCTGCGAAAAAAACAGAGTGAGAGCCTATTGAGTGTTTGGGGGAGAGTCGCAGAGATTGCAGAGTTTTAACCACGCGAGGTGTGACTTTGGTCAAGGAACGGGGACCGTATACAATATAGAATATAGAAAGAATAGACAAAGAAAAGCAGAGCTCGTGAATGCAGCTCTAATCAACACCTGCTGTCGCTCATATCACTGTTTGACAAAGGATAAAGGTTAATGGTCAGACTCCCTGTTACTATCAATTAAGAGTTAAAAAATATAGTTTGAATTATGTAAGTAATATAATGATAATTTTTTTAAAAAAAATAAAAATTATAAAAATTATTTACTATTTAATAAAAAGAATAAAGATTATAATTTTAATCAAAGAAGGTAAAATGTTTTAAAATATTTTAATTAAAGGTGAAGATTAAAATTTTAAATATCATAACTTCTTAAATTTTTTTTCAAAACATTATTGACGCCTAATTTTTAACTTGGAATTAGCATGTTGCGGTGATGGATGCCCCTTTTCCTGGAAGGAGGTAGAAAAATAAAGCAGACCTGCTGGGGCAGCACCAGTCATCGACGAGTCAACATAAGCTTCTTCTGTCGTCAATTTGATGTCAGTGTGAATGTGAAATCAACGAAACAAAGTAGTTGGAGAAAGAAAAGGAAAGAAAAGAGGAGTCTTTCAACTTATAATGAATGGAATAAATAAGTCCTATTTTGTAAATAATAATAACAACAACAACAATGCTGATCATTTGTACAAGTCTCTAATTTTATCCGGTTATCATTTATTAGGCTGTCGTTTTAAAATTTTCGTATTATATGATTTATATCTGTCTATAATGAAATTAAAAAATAACGAGACAAGAAATTAAATAAAATCTAAATTTTTGTTATCCCTAATGAAATTTAGAAATAACTAAAAGATAGTAACAAGAAAGAACAAGAAATAACTGTATCTATGAAATTAAACTACACAGATTTAATAAAAAAATAAGATAACTCATGAAAAAATAATAACAAGATAATAAATAAAATTTGAAAATTTTTTTCTTCTCCGATGAAATTAAGAAATAACTAAATAGGAAATAACAAGAAATATTTGCATCTAATCAAAATTAAATTCAGTAAATTTGATTCAGAACTCAAAGGAAGCAGCTACAATATTTGAAAAGATGAAAAAAAAGAAAAGGCAGACATGTATGTATATGTAAATTAAAATCAGCAGCACATATGTGAATATAAAATAAGTACCTTCCAATGCTAAAAGCAGGGGAGATGCCTTAGAAGTTCAAACAAGATAAAAAAGAAGAGTGGTGAGTTTGGATGGTGCTTTGATCTTACTTTGATTTTAGTTGAGTGAACGCTCCTTTTCGATTGATTCCACCCCACCCGGTTTCAGCCCCAGAAACAAGGCAAAAGGGCAGTAACTGTTAGTAGTTGTTAAAATCACATCATAATGAAAAGAAAAGCCGAATGTGAAAACCAAACAAAATGAGATGCATGTTAAGGGAATATATAATTAGTACCTTTCTAGCTTTGGATTTCCTTTTATAATGTTCAATGTTGGAACAAGAAAATAAGATCTATTGGCATGACAGAGGAAAATGGTCTTTAGAGTGGAATCGATCGGTGATCAGTTCGCAGGAAAGGGTTGTAAGATTGAGCTTTGGTTTTGGCAGAGAAATGAAAATGTGGAAGTTAGGTGTAAGATCGGTCATTTATAAATTGATCCCACCACGCGGTTTCTCCAAAAAAACTAGGACTTAATTCAATTTTTAGTCTATTAACTATCACCTTAATTTCATTTTAGTCTAGAAATTATCTTTTATTTCTAACTGGTCTATTAACTTTCAGATTCATTTCAATTTCGTGTACTTGGTCAAAGATAACGGAAAACTTCCTATTTTTGTTAGAGAACAGTTAGTCCTTTAATTATATTTTTTTGATCTTTTAATCCTCAAATTTATATTTATTATAAAAACAACTTTTATACTTAAAATTATTATTTCTAAACTCTGATACTAGATTTTTATTCGAGTTTTCAAAACTTAACTCAGTGAATAGCTGGTATGTTAAGCTCAGTTAGTGTGGAATTAGATCTACTAGATTGCTAACAAATACCGACCTCATCTTGAATTCACTGAGTTAAGTTCTGAAAACCTGAATAAAAATCTAGTATTAGAGCCTAAAAATAATAATTTTAAGTATAAAAGCTATTTTTATAACAAACATAAATTTGAGGACTAAAAGATAAAAAAAATATAGTTAGAGGACTAACTGTTCTCTAACGAATGGGAAGTTTTCTTTGACCAAGTAGACGAAATTGAAATGAATTTGAAAGTTAATAGACCACTTAGAAATAAAATATAGTTTCTAGACTAAAATGAAATCAAGGTGATAGTTAATAGA